CTACCTACCTACCTACCTACCTACCTACCTACCTACCTACCTACCTACCTACCTACCTACCTACCTACCTACCTACCTACCTACCTACCTACCTACCTACCTACCTACCTACCTACCTACCTACCTACCTACCTGTCTGTCTGTCTGTCTGTCTGTCTACCTACCTACCTACCTACCTACCTGTCTGTCTGTCTGTCTGTCTGTCTACCTACCTACCTACCTACCTACCTGTCTGTCTGTCTGTCTGTCTGTCTACCTACCTACCTACCTACCTACCTATCTATCTATCTATCTATCTATCTATCTATCTATCTATCTAGCCACTCTTCTTTTGAAAAGTATGTCATCTTTGACAATTTACATGTTACAATACCGCAAAGATTGAAAGCTTAAAATACTAACAATATATTTGGGAATATATAAAAAAAAAAAAAAAACAGCAGTTCATCTGCGAAATATTTTTGTAACTGAAATATGTTTGGTCTCTAATTTGTATTTATTCGCATTTCCTCCTTAAGTGCTAATTAGATTCTTAAAGTGAGATCTGGGTTCTCGGTATTAATTTAATTAATAATGGGATGCATAGGTTTATCTGGCACATTGATCTGGGTTCGAATCTGGCCTGTGTCTTCTGTCTGCTTAAACAAAAAAATGGCAAAAGCCCCAAATTATTATAATTTTTTTTTTTAAAGTAACATTTTGTTGTTCATATGATGTTGCTAAAAGGAACATTATTTTGTGTATTTGGTGTAATGAAATGTGTTTATGCGGTTTAAGGTTAAAAAAACACATTATTTTCCACATACTGTACATTATTGTTTCTCCTCTATGCCCCGCCTTTCTGAAACGCGTCGATTTTTACAAAGCTCATCGGTCTGAAAAGCGAGGTGTGCTCTGATTGGCCAGCTATCCAGTGCATTGTGATTGGCTGAATTCCTCAAGGTGTGACGGAAATGTTACGCCACTTTAACATACTGTGATGCCTGCGGCAACCACATGTGACGACCCCGGGCTGGACTCCGCTTCGTCCACGGTGAAAGCCGATCCGGCAATCGACAGCGCAAAGTAGAAGTATTTCCTCAGCGACCAGCACGGATCAGCTCCAGGCATGA